TATTAGAGTAATATTTATTGAAACAAGTATTCTATAGGAGAGCGCTTTTAATTTAAGTTGAAATAAGTGATGTAAATTGAAGTCTGAATTTGCAAAATTCCTCCCACTATTCCTGTTCAACATGTAGTTCATAGAGAATTGAATCTAAATCTCAACCTATAGATCTACTTGTATGTACCTACTTGTGCAAAAGGACAAGAGAAACAGTGGATATATATATATATATATATATGTATATGTATATGTATATTTATTTATTTACTTATTCATATCGGTATTTTCTTATGTTGTGCAATCTTGCCTGCTGTCCAGCCAAGAGCATCTAGAATATCCACCCAAATTTCTATTCCTATTTTCTTGATGAAGAACCATCTCCGCTCTTGCGACATTTCGAGGTTGCAAGTTGGGTTGTCCTTACAGGCCTGGGATGCTGAGCGGCAGCATGAAAGTATTGCAGTGCCCCATGTTTTGCCAAAAAACAGAAACGAATCCGTAGAGGTGCGATGTTCAGCACGCCGCCTCTGCAGCCTTCGAAATGCACGCAAGAGCGTGCGAGTTTTTGCGAGTTTGGGTTCAACTCTGATCGGGCTTGCGTATAAAAGACTCCCATCACCTTTAAGCTCACTTTAAAAACTTTATCCCAGAAGCCCTAAGCCCTTGCAAACCAAGATTCAGCGCTTCGGCCGATGGGGTGACCGCTTAAAGAACTGGTTTAAACAACCGTTCGAGAACCCTTTGAAGATTGCCGAACAGTGCGACGATTGTGTGCTATACCTAAACGACGGCTGAGTAGTGCAAAAAAGTTCAGGGCTTCGGATTCTCAGGACTCGCACATGGTAAGGCTTCACGACAAGTCCTGTTAACACTGATTCAGGTTTGGAAACTTAGGGAATTTGGGTTTAGGCAGGAACATCACAGATCATATCTTTAGACTCGGACGTAGTTTTGTCTGGTTTGCAGCTCTTCCCAGCTACTAACAACTCGCCGGCTGCTGCCAGGATCCAGCTGCGCGTGGAAGCTCGATACACCGGCTCCGATGCCCCGATACAATCTCTGCAGCCAAGACACTGCAAGCAGAAGCGATGATCGTATTTGCCAAGCCTTCTCCGAGAGCTGTGCTGTGGGCGGAGATTGCTCCGATTTTTTCCGTTCAGTAGGGCCCACTGTGTCCGGCGATCACTGGCTGGATCTACAGCTTAGACGGTTTTCAAGCCTGGGACGGCGATGTTCAGCGTTGCTGCTGAAACTGCCCATCTGGATGCTTGAATGGCATCATAGAGGACCAGACTCTGACTGGGTTCAAGTTTGGGCTGTTATACTTGTCTCCGACATATGTCCCAAGACTTCACAATGCAGCAGCTAGCCATCAAGCAACGCCGTGCCGCAGAATATTGACTCCATCGGATTCCTGAACCCTCATCCCAAACCCAAACCGAGCCAAGCTCTTTCCAACCAAGCTTGCCTTGTCCAACGGCGCACTTCCTTCCAGGAAGGCATCCACGCAAATGACCCGACCATCCTCTGCGACCTGCATGGAGGGACTTTTGGATCAGGCACGAGGTTTCTGTGCCTCCATCCCAATGAGTCATCCCCTCCGGACCGCTACTTTCATGTGCTTGAGTTGCTGCCAAGGGTTGTAGGACATGCCGAAGTCACGGCAGCCGCTTTACCATCAAGAATGCAGCCGGGCAGCGCAAACCTTTGGCTGCAAAGACTGCTGATGGAGAAGACCATCCTGCTGCTTGAGGGCGCTTCCTGAGCTTCGAAGATGCACATCCGCCGACTCGACCGACCGCATTGGAAGTCCAAGAGCTTTTAAAGCTGGATCCCGGTTTTGCACTGACTTTCGGCGCACGACCGAGTTGCAGAAGGGACATGTCCCTTTTTGAAAGACCGAAAAGCCCATCAGAAGCGCGAACACGAGCATGGCTTGGCACGCGTGAGACGACCAGCGTTTCATTACCGGTCAGAGTCCTCCGTAAGCTCTTCTTAAGCAGTCTGAGGGCAGCCGAGGCAAGCCCAACAAGCTTGATGGCGACAGGAGCGCATTGCAAAGAAACCTGCCTCATGTGTACTATATGCACGGATTCCTTTTTTTGCCAAGTCGCGAACATGACTCGCGATCACGTCTGCCTTTGTATCTTCTCCGACAGGGATTGTAATCCGCACAGGCCGTACAGTCCCGCGCTGGGAGCCGCCCAGCTGAGAAGCTGGTACCTGCCGCGCAACTGCAGCATTCTGCTACTCAGCTACTCAGGGCTTGCAGCAGATGGAAACACACGGGCAGCCATGCAAACCAGGGAGACAAAAGGGGGGCGATAGCCATGCAAACACAGGTAGTCGAACACGCAAACAAGCAGTACAGACCTCTTGATCGAGTGGAAGATGAACAAAGATGTGGATGTCAAACAGACAATAACTAGATGGAAGAGAGCAGTAAACAGGCAGGCAGGTGGACAGGCAGATAGGTTCGTCTAGTTCCTTATTATTGTTGTTAGTCATTCTGGGCCAGCCGAACCTTGCAAATCAGCAGCCCGGTTGCAGCGGAATACTTCCTATCGGCCCAGTTCAGCCACACCATCGACTCGGCTTCAGCAATGCCGACAGTTCGTGTAGAGTCACCAAGCATCTGCAGATTCTACAAACGAACTCGACAAAGCAGGTGACAGTTTATCAAGCAAGAAGCTTGGGCCGGAATCCTTAAACTCACCCGTCGACCTTCAACTCTTCGCTGGACTTGAGTGGCGTGAGCAGCGCATGCCGGCCCTCGAACCTGACCATCAAACGTGGAGAGGGACCCCAGCATAGACCTAGTAATTAGGATAGGGTTCCTTTTAAGGTTCCTTTAATATAAAGGGTTCTATAAGGGATCGGTAATAGAGTTCTATAACAAAAGGCCTAAGTAATTACCAATACCATTTTGGGTGTTCCTTACCGTACTATAACTACAGCATACTGGGCCCCAAAACCCTTTCATATATATATATATATATATATATGTATATATATAAAGGCCCCTACACTAGACTTAAGGCAGTCCCAAATTCGAGAACACGCTCACCAGCACAAATCGACAGGCAGAGACATGGAACCACAGTGCACAAACCCGGAATCCTGAAACATCCAAACGAAATCATGAAAAAACCGGCACAATAAATGCACAAACGCCTCCCACCCGGCACTGCAGGCCCCAAACTCACCAACTGAGGGCTGAACTGTTCAGGTTCTGGGATTCAGGGCCGATTTATACTAAAACCATATATTGGGACGATAATAATAAGGGATATTAGAACTATAGTTACTATAGTTCTTCAAACCTCTACAACAAAATAAGCTTAGGGGTGCGGGTACGGGTTTCGCAGCGGAACCCAGCAGCCTCTGGAGCTTGAAAGGCTCGGAGGTCTCTTTCGCCCGGAGCCAGAAGAGCTGACCAGTGCCCAGGCGGAGCCGGGTCAGCCAGTCCTCTACGGTAACTAAATAAGGGTTGACTACTGTATGTATATATATATATATATATACATATATACATATATATTTAAGAGGGTTTGGGGTATAAGGGTTCGCGGAGATTAGGGGGCTCTATGGCAAGGGTTTAGTTTACGGTTTTTCCCTCCTACCTGGCAAGGACGAAGCCCGGATTGCAGAGCATGTTCGGTGACTGACTGTGATCATTGCACAGCAGGATTTAGGGTTTAGGGAGATTAGGGGTTTCGGGTTTAGGGTTTAGGGAGATTCGGGGTTTCGGGTTCTGTTTAAGCGCCGGCAAGGTTGAAGGTTCAGCCTCATCTGGTTCATTGTGGGCTGTGAGAACAATTTTCGGGGATTCAGCAAGCTACGTGCCCTAGACCCGAAATCCCACTCCAACGAGGTCTGTACAACCCACTTGGTTTTCCCTACCCCGGTTGCCGATACGCCAAACTGCTAAACCATGGCGTACAGATTCACACTTTTAGTTTTCCCGGGACCGGAGCCTGTCGTTACGCAGGCTCAGTCGTTAAACATGTTTGCAGGATTTGTAAAAACCTCGGTGACCGAAGTCCTGAGCCAGTAAGTAGGCGAGAGCAAGGGAGCCCGCAGCGACACCAGCCGCGAGGCAGCTGCCCACGGTTCCGCCCAATCTGCACTGGAAATCATGCACAAAGACCAGAACCCCTGTGTAACTGCACCTGGCCCTAAGTTTTCAGTAAGCCTTCCTCCCCATGCATCCTCGCTCAGATACAGCACTGCGAGGATCGAATGGATTGGACCACCCTCAGCCCTGCTCACCGCACAACGAAACGGATAGAGTAGAGAGTAGTAGTACTCATATCCCAAAAACCCTTGCCTCAGGACTGGTGCAATATCCCAGAGACCCTAAGTCCTAAACCCAAGCCCCAATACTCCCGAAAGCCCCACCCCCGCAAGCACCATCTTTGCTTTGCGCTCGTAAGATCCCTTCACAACCGAAGCCCTTTTCAGCATGGGCTTGGATTGAGTGCCAGCGAACACTCTTCAACAGCAGGGCCTTCTCGACACCCGAAGGCCTGAAGACTAAACCCAAAGACCCTTTCTTGAACCCGTACAGAGTCCGATGCGTGTGACCTCGAAAACCCCGAGCCCGAAACTGGGTTCTTGTTAAGGAACTTAACTAATCTACGTTGCCGCAATAGGGGCTCTGTAGTGAAAATTGTGGTTTCTGAATTATGGCAACAAAAATTAAATTCATTAGTATCGTGAATAATATGGGATTTTATTCTTTCTTATGGTAACTTAAAGTGTAAACACCAATTTCTCACCAAGAATGTAGTAACGACAAGTAGCAGCCCAGGGCTTATCGGCCCCGGCGCTCCCACGGCCAAGAGAATCGTTCCGTAGATCCTCGGCTTCAGACTCCCACATTCGGGTTCTTTTTTTTTTAACCCTCATTTCCGTCTGCCCCGAAGGTTAGCAAGAACACCACATTCGGGTTCTTTTTTTTTAACCCTCATTTCCGTCTGCCCCGAAGGTTAGCAAGAACACCACATTCGGGTTCTTTTTTTTTTAACCCTCATTTCCGTCTGCCCCGAAGGTTAGCAAGAACACCACATTCGGGTTCTTTTTTTTTTAACCCTCATTTCCGTCTGCCCCGAAGGTTAGCAAGAACACCCCATTCGGGTCTTTTTTTTTTTTAACCCTCATTTCCGTCTGCCACGAAGGTTAGCAAAACACCACATTCGGGTTCTTTTTTTAACCTCATTTCCGTCTCCCGAAGTTAGCAAGAACACCACATTCGGGTTCTTTTTTTTTAACCCTCATTTCCGTCTGCCCGAAGGTTAGCAAGTTCGGCTTTTTTTTTTAACCCTCATTTCCGTCTGCCCCGAAGGTTAGCAAGAACACCACATTCGGGTTCTTTTTCTTTAACCCTCATTTCCGTCTGCCCCGAAGGTTAGCAAGAACACCACATTCGGGTTCTTTTTTTTTTAACCCTCATTTCCGTCTGCCCCGGAGGTTAGCAAGAACACCACATTCGGGTTCTTTTTTTTTAACCCTCATTTCCGTCTGCCCCGAAGGTTAGCAAGAACACCACATTCGGGTTCTTTTTTTTTTAACCCTCATTTCCGTCTGCCCCGAAGGTTAGCAAGAACACCACATTCGGGTTCAGGGCTTAGGTTTTTTTTTTCCCTCTCGCATGGCTGGCAGCTATGTCCACAAGCGAGGTTGTATGGGGACTATGGGGCTTAGGGGCTTCGGGTTTAAGGTTTCGGGTTTAAGGTTTAGGGCTTGGAGGTTTCGGGTTTAGGGGTTCGACTTGGTACACTTCTCGGGTTTAGGGTTTAGACTCTTCGGGCCTCAGCGGCTAAGGTTTCTTTTTCATGGTAGGATACCCCATGATTTGCCATAGAAGGGTTAGGATAATCATATTCCAACTTTCTGGCTTTTACCCTAGGGGAGAAGAGTGTGGGAGCTCCAGGTCCGGCGTTTGGGAGATGAGGGCTAAGGCTTTGAAGAGTGTTGGTGTAGCACCGAAGACGAAACCGGGAGGAACTGATAATATATACATATATGACTACTATACCAGAATCATAACAAGCAACCCCCGAAATCGTACTATTTGCTATTTATTTCGGCCCCGATGTTGAGTCTAGCATCGCGGTGCTGGCTGCTCCAACGATCCACGCCCGCACACAGGCAAGGGCGAGGCCAGGGGCTGGACTGCTGGGTGTTGGCAGACTTCGGCTGAGCACTCTCGCAGCCTGCACCTGGACTTTGATGATTTCATACTGGTTCCTTTGAGGAACAGGTACAAAAAAAGTATTCAAGTATGGTACTCCAAACCCAGGGCACACTAAGCACGAGGAAGACGAAGGCCGTGGAGATTTGGAGAGCCCAGGCATCCACCCAAGCGACCTGTCACCAGTCTAAGACAAAAACACTTTCGCGACACTGTCTGCAACACAAATCCTTAAACACTCACGAGAAGCACGGCGTGAGAGCAGAGAGAAGACAAGTCATGACAGTCCGGAAATGCGCAGTGCAGCATCCCTTTTATCAATACACTGAAGGCAGATGCCAAAGGTACCTCAGAGTGTTCACTCCCTCGTGCAAGTTAGGTTTGCCGAACACGGCAACATCAGGCAACAGCGACAAGCACATGCATAAGAACGAGCCGGGCACAGTTACGCAGAAGCTTCGCCGAAGCAGGACAGGCGCTGGCCTCCTTCTTCACTTCCAGGTGATATGCGATCTTTTGCCTGGGTTTCTATTAAACTTTGTGTGTCGATTTCGGATGGGTGCCGCTGCATGCTGATATCGTCTCAAACCTGCTGCAGGCTAGGCACACGATGCCCACCATGGGTATGAAGAATGCAGCTGCAGCGGAAACTGCAGATGCTCGCGTGTTGACGGCCAGGAACCAATGCGCCTCGGACCAGCAGCAGTAATGTAGGGGCCTTAATAATTAGGTGTATTAATTATAACTATAATAAGGAACCCCCAAAATAGTGTCGGCAACTATGTACTATAATGATAATAACCTCCCAGCATAGTAGTGGTAATTATAAAGGCCCTCGTCTTAGTAGCCGCAAGAGTGATTCCAAAAAATCTGGGACTCCGGCAGCCTTGCCAGGACCTCCACTGGCACCTGCCAGACGCGCCGGCAGCACCTCAAGGATTCCTTTATTGTTCCTTTTCAGAGTTCCTTTACGGGTACTATACGGTTCTGTTATGGGGTTCCCTTTAGGGATAGGGAACGCGAAAATAAATTCGGTGCCATCTGACGACGATCCGCAAACAACCATCGCATCGTTTAGCAGCACGAACTTTCTTCGTCGGACGGGCACAGGAGGCATGTCAGGTCCCTCGTTGGGCTGCTAGATGCGTGTTGAACAAAAAGCTTCACAGTTCCGGGCTTTCGCGTCAGCCTTATCATTGCAAAGGACATGTTACAAAGCTTAAGCCCACCACAACCGGGACTCGGTAAATTGCACAGATCACTCCAAGCTTGGAGCCCAAAATACATAGAAATCGCAAAGTTAAAGCAGCACAAAATGCGAAGCACATCCCTCGGTGTGGATTCATGCGGGTTTGCCTACCGGATCAGTGCTCAGCACAGGCTTAGCTGCCAAACGTCATTGATGAATTACTTCCGCTGCAGGTGTACTATCGAGTATGTACCACTTGGACTCTCGTAGTTGGGCCAGGCAAGCAATGCCCGCTGGTAGACGCATGCAGCGATACACTCGTGCACATGCGCACGTGGGCACACATGCTCACGCACTCAGGCACAGCGCGCGCACACACACACACACAGCGGACGATTTGTCTTTGCATCAGCGTATGTACATTGTGCTATTAAGGGGGGCAGCAAGCATTCAGTCCAGCTTCCAAGCTGGAATCAAACATTCTCTCGGCCGCCCTCTCTCTCGCCCCTTCTCTCAATACAGTAGCCGCCCAATAGGTAATAGTCTGCATTGCTACATGCACAAGCATCGGCTCTTTCAGCGGCATTTCGCATTGTAGCCAGCTGCATCTGTACGATACAACACACGGAAACGTGTTCGATCATGTTGCAACTTCTCGCACTGTAGATTATAAGTGAAATATCTGGCAGAGCAACAAGATCTTGCACAGCAACGGCCGCGACAAGAAGGACGAGAACAAAGCCAAAACAGCTACCATGGAAGCAGCGCCGAAACAGGACGAGGCTCCCGGCGTGCCCCCTGCTGAAGAACTTCGAAGTTCATCAGCCGCAGTGCAATGCCTCGCCAGGTGCTTGAGGAGTTGAGCTTTCCGGCTCACGCCCAAGGCATCCAGCATCTATAAGCCATGCAGATGGCCCGGATCAGTTTGCGCAGTGGTTCAGTGATTCACGGCTAGTGACGGCTAGTGCAGTCGTTCGAAGCATCTGGTTGCATCCAAAGGTGCCAGATGACATTCCCAGGATCAACAAGCCTTGGCTTCTGTGATTCGCTTCGGATCGCTTGGGGTCTGGACTTGGGCGCTTCAGGGTCGAGAACTTTCGGCGCGTAGGAATTGCAAGCTTTGTCGGTTGTGCACCGGGGGCAACTTCTAGTCTGCGTGTGTCTATAAACATGCCGCATATGAGCAATTATGAGCAGATGTGTACATGTGCATAAATGCACTGGTGTGTAGTTGTGTGTAATTGAAAGAAATAACACACAGCATGCCTGCTTGTCAGGTTGTATCATACCACCAGCACTTTGTGCTGCAGCTCAGCCACGGTGGCCCGAGGTTGGGGCATGATGCTCGATCCACTCCACCAAGATTGGCCACCTGAAGCATTAATGCTTGGTTGGCTGATGCAGCTATAAGTCAGATCTCAGGCACTCCTTGGTCTCCCGTGCTGGAAAAGCCATTTGTAGCCTTGCATGTCTGCGAGCATCATAGGGGCGGCCATCGGGATGTAGGCATACAACGCTCTTGCACGGAAGGCTGAAAAAGTCATCAAGCGCAGGTCCGAAGTAGTTTGGCCTGGAACTTCCAGAAGGAAAAACCACCCTGGATTGCAGTCTGTCATGAGGCACTCAGCCGAGTGCTTTGTCTGAAGCAGGAAACGCTTGAAGCCCGACAGAAACGAGCATGATTCACAAACCTCCCCGGTCCACCTGCACATCACGACGATGAGAAGAGCTGCCACGACACCTCAGTGCGGGGCGTTATTGAGGGCGGCAGCATGGGTTTGGGAGTTGTTCATAAGCCTCGCGAGGTGAGCTTCTATCAAGGTTCAGGGCTTCTGGTACCCCGCGCGAGTGAAAATCAGTTGTAGCAGCCGGATGCATGCGGAGGGTCTTGCGCTGAGCTCTGCGATTATCTGCCTGAAGCTACGCAGCCCAACCCTCTGCAAAAAAGGTTTCTACAGCAAGCCAAGTCTCCATCCGTCGAGCCGGAAAGACACCACTAGCTCTGGCAATACCCCACCCATGACTAAAGGCTAACCTTGCAGAATTGCTCCGAGGTATCAGAACCCAAACGACTGCAAGGTAGAAGCTTCGGAGATTTCATCACACTCGGACTTGCTACTCAGGGCCACGCTCAAGGCAACGGCTTTGATGCGCACCTTCTTTCCCAGCTTCTTCAGGCTTTCACCATCCTGCATATGGGAGTTTCCGAAAAGAGGGGACCCTAATAATGCCCTAATATAGTACCCTAAGTAAAAGGTAGAATCCTTATTATAAGGATCCCAAAGTAAGGTAGCCCTAATTTGCACTTAGGAGTTTGGGAGCGGTTTTCGCTAGCTGCGGCCGGGGCTATGCACCATCAATGCTCAAGTGATCGGAAGTATCCCCCCTCACCAGTCCTCACCAAAATATTTAGGATCACCATAGTCGCGCATATCCGGAAAAGAATAACTTGCAATGAAAAATGATGTGCCCACCTGCATCACGGGCGTGAACCGCCATCCCCAACCCGGATGCCATCAATATCCAAGTCGCTCTCATCCTCCATCTCATTCTCTGCTTCTATAGCATTAACAGAACATTCGGATCACGATTGCATTTAAGCTTTGCGATTACTTTTGCTTCTGTTCTGAAGACAAAGCCCGCCCGAAGAAGCCGAGGACGGGTCCTGATCCCCTGCTGCTGCATCCCTTATTTGCTGCGCCACCTTCGACGGCGGCTCAGGTTGCTTAGAGCGCAAGGTAGTACTTGGTTCAGGGTTTAGGATGGTACTCGGAATTTGCAGAAAAGAAGGGACCCAAAAATAGATCCGAAAATCGTACGGCGCTCCTTATACGTCTCTCTCGATAAGGTACCCATATAGTTCATAACTACTTAACAACTGTTCCGAAACCACCAAACAACGGCTTCCAAAACCCGAAAACTCCCAAAGCCGGAGCGGATCAGAGTTGCCAATAGAGACAGGGCTGCCAGATTGTGCAAGGCTAAAGGAGCAGCGTCCATTATCTTCGGGATCTCGTGCTATGATTCGGTTAGAAACACAGCAAAGACAAGCGCTGCATAAAGCAGGACCGAACATGCCCGAGCTGTGCAGTGACTGCTGGATCAGCCTCTTCTGCGGGCACGGTTGAGGTCGTCCGCCATGCAACCGTTGCCTCTCCCTGGCAAGGCAAGCACTGGCTCTTTCAGTCGTTCTGACTCAGGTGGCTTCGTTCGGTGAACTCTCTTCATGACTTGGTTTGGGTTCCATCCAGCTCAACAGTGCTAGCCAGGGTCTGAGTTTGGCTTAGTTCCGGCGAGTCTTGGCGTCCTGTCATGCCTGAGCGAGACGCTTCCCTGCCTTTTCCAGGTTGAGCCCGTCGCACGTGACCAGCGACGGCTGGGTCCGACCAGCGAGGAGCTGCTTCACTGCGCCTTTGGACCCAGCTCCCTTCCAACTGAGGGTGTAGTGGAGGTGAGGTCTGGAGTTCAACTAACAGTGCTCGATCCTGGGTCTTGGTTGATGAACACAGCAACCATGCCGACCATGCCTGTTCCTACTTCCTACCCTGAGCACAATGCAGAACCCGAGCTCCTGAACACTCTGCTTCAAAGACCATGCCCAAACAGTTCAAACACAGACCAAAGATCTCGCTCCCCCCCCTCCCTCTCTCTCTCTCTCTCTCTCTCTCTCTCTCTCTCTACCGGGCGTGGGGATTAGGGCAGCGTCCAGGCCCCGCTCCCCGTGCAGTGCGCACACCCGCTATTCGCGGGTTGTCCTTAGTCCTCGTGGGAGTTTTCCCCCCCGAGGCTCAGCTGAACAGCACAAGGGTTCACCTATTCACTGCCCCTTTGTACTTGTACTCTGTAGGTGGGCGGCAGTGTAGGATTCCCCTTCGTTTGGCAGAGCTTACGGCTTGTTTCTGTTCGTGTACAACCAAATACCATGACACTACAGACATGAAAGTTGCACAAGTCGCAAGCTGAGGGCCCGGCCATAGAAAGAGTACAACAAGTAGCATATTAGAACACTTGAACAGTTACTCCCCCTATCTCGTGACCAGGTTGCATCTGCCGTGGTACTCTCTCTCTCTCTCTCTCTCTTTGCTTTGCTAGGGGCCTGAGGCGGGAGCAATCCTCCCTCCCTCTCTCTCTCTCTCTCTCTCTCTCTCTCTCTCTCTCTCTCTCTCTCTCTCTCTCTGTGTGCTGTGCGATACCGTAGGGTCTCGCAACCCAAGGCAGCCCAAACATATACGTCCCAAGAATGTACTGAATTTACCCCCAGTTCTCGTTCGCTAAGTAAGAGTCCGCCTACGTAGTCCAAAGCTTCCGAAAGCAAACTCTGGAAACCAAAACGACGGGAATCCCGAACCGAAGCATACCTTTCTATGATGAATTGGGGAATGCTGCTGCTACTATCAATACTAGTAATCGCAGTCATGCACAAAGTGAAAAGCATGCCAAGCCTGTTTTGGGGCTTCCGCGGTAGCAGTTCTAGGATGGATTCTCCAGGACCTGATTGCAACTCCAGACTCCAGAACACCACGCTGCGACCTGTTGCAAAGGATGCAGAAAAGAAGGCTGAATTATCCCTCTAGCGGAACGAACCGCTGTATCCTCTGAGACCAAGACCCAGGAAAGGACGACAGACCTGAACCAGAAACCCAAGACTTCCCCAATAACGAAACCCTGCCCTTCACTCTGTAAACCTTACTTCCGAAGACTCCTGTTGTCTACCAAACCAACCCTCAGTGAAAACCTTGCTTCCCAAGTCTTAACCCGGAAAACTCCCTGTTTGTCTACGAAAGCACAGAGCGCCAAACCACTAACTCGCAGAACGGAGCTCTTCCCAAGGCACTCAACCCTGACCGCCAGACCCTACACCCCTCAACTCCTTTTTTGCAGCAGGCCTCGTTGTCCAGCAGCCAGGTTACAGCATGAACCCCCCATTCCCCCGCTTCTGCAAAGAACCCCTAAACCCTAAACCCCCGCTAAACCCCTAAATCCCAAACCCCTAAATCCTTTCCCAAGGCACTCAAGCCCAAGCCAAGCGCAAAGCCCTTGGAGCTCAGCGATGGTGCAGGGCCTCTGGAACAGTTGGCCTCGGGCCTTTTGTTTAGCTGGGTTGTAGTTTGGCGGCCCTTAAAAGTTTGGTACCTCTATAAAATCCATAAAGGGAGCTGAAAAAGTTTCCCAAACTGCCACCTAGTTAGGGTATGAAAAAGTCCGACGGGGATTTCTTGGAATTCTTGGATGAATACAAGCCTGTAGGGCTGGAGGCTGAGGGTTACGCGCAGAGCTCATAATTAAGCATGGCACACGAGGCCTCTCAGAGCCTGACTTGAGTTCGATTCCGAGGACACTTTGATCCCAGAGAACCCAATACCCTAATTAAGGAATATACCTTGAATCAGAATCGTAAGCCCCCTAAAATTTTCGGGTATAGTCCTTTTTTTTGCCTCCTGCATGGCGTAAGTCGGCGAAGCAGGGTAACGGTTGGATACATCTGTGGTATAGTCCTTAATTTAGGGGTATTGGGATCTTTGGGATTCTGCCTCCGAAGATGAGGATCACGAGGGCGAGGACCACGATCAAGGGTGGGGGCAAAACGAAGGCGCTCAAGTATCTCGGCCATCAGGGAGTTTCCGAAAACTAGGGGTACCATTAAAGGGATCCAGAAGGGCTCCTTAAAGGGATCTAGAATCTATAAGGGTTCTATAAAGGGTTTAGGGTTTGGGAGTTTCCGAAATTAAGGATACCTTATCTTCGGGTCCTTATAAAACAGGATCCTACTATTCAGGGTACCATATTAGGGTCCCTTCTCGGAAACTCCCATCTATGTTTGGCATTACCGGGGCGTTTGCGCGACTCCTGGCATTAGTTGACGCTTGTTGAAACTAAACGCCTCTGACTCGCGCCCGTTTCCTCGTATAGACCCGCAGAACCAGAAGTGTTTGCAAAAGTATCATGAGGAAATCCATGCCCCTCTTCTGTTTCAGGGATATGCCAGTTCGAAGACAAACCTTGGCGTCTGAAGTCTCCGGGCCTCCGGCTCCAAAGCTAAACCCAGCTTTGCAATATCAGAAGCACCAACAATGCAACCACCACCACCACCACCAGCAACGACCAGCAACGACCAGCACGACCAGCGACTGTAGAAGCAGCAGCAGCAGCAGCAGCAGCACTGATGCTTAAACAAACGCGATGCAGCGGTAACAGCCGAAATGTGCGCGAGGTACAAAGGACCTGTGTTGAGGAAGGCTCATATAAGGATTCTGGGCAGACATACACCGGGAAGATTGCTGTAAACCCAAGGCCTCAGGCCTGGGAGACGGCTGATGCTTTGCACATGACTTGAGATGTCGGAGGCCAAGCAGCAAGACACCTGAATACTCGACCCAAACCCCAAAGCCTCTCTCTGTCTCCCAGGCATTCGAAACGTCGAGCCCGGCTGTAGGACACAGATGGTCCCTAAACCCCAAAGCCTAAAATCATAACCTTTAAAGCCACAATTGACTCAAAGCTGCATGCTCACACCGAGGCCATACACGAAAGAGCCCGCACTGGGCACTTTCCACAGCAGCGTTCCAAAGGCAAGCAAGAGCGGAATGGCCAGCAGTTTCTTCCTTGATGGAGGCCCAAAGCCCGAAACCCTACGTAACCTACAAAGGGTCTGAACAATCAGTACCAGTAATACTCTTCCTTCGGGCTCCCACGGCTGATTATTCAGGCACCCGTATTAGTCCAAGTGGGTGGTTGTCAAAATTCGGGTACCGTTTTTGGTATTAGGTGCCGTATTATATTAAGGACCCAAAAAGGTACCATAATTTTGGCAACTACCCAAGTAAGTACAACAATGAGTGTCGCCCCAGTGCAAGGGAGCTTCCGAAGACCCGGGCCTCCATCGATTGCTTGACTCTAAAGTCGACTTGGGGAGGATCATGGGACTTAGTAAGTAGGGTCAGTACCATAATTAAGGTTATAAGTGGATATAACTATAGCTACCTGACTTGTAACCCTACTTACTATAAGTCCCATGATTCTCCAAGTAGTCAGTAAATCCTTGTTACAAAGATCCGCAAAACAAAATAACCAACAAAAAGTGTGGGCTGACGCTGCTTGCACCTCGGCGCCGAAATCGCTGAAACTTCCTCTTGAACTCCTACATGCCCTCTACATGGTGGTTTCCGACAATAGGGGACCCTAATCTAGCACCCTATAAAAGGCAGGATCCTTATTATTTGACCCCGACATAAGGTATCCCAGCATTTTCGGAGACTCCAACATCCCCAACGGCTTGTAAATCCGGCGCGGTGGCCTGAGCTCGGAAACCCTTCGAAGTACAAGAACAAGCTACCAGGACGAGGGGCTCCTGGAGTCAACCCGAAGGCCCAACCGTGCTACCCAGGCACTCCAATTTCCTTTAATTAAGAAAATATACCCCGAATCATCCTACCATATTTTCAGGAATATTCCTGAATTAAGGGATAATGGAGTCTCTGGCTATACAAGTTTGCCGAAGCCCAACCTGCAACCCTAAACCCAAAACAACCCGATAATTCTGATACTGACCCTACGAACCAGGTAGCCCGAAACCCTGAACTGCCTTCAGCCTAAGTACTCCGATAAGACCCTCCCAACAAATCAAAGAAACCCAAATATTCTTTTTTGCGGGGTTCCTCATTTCAAGTATAGTAGAGTACAGTATCCCCCCAAACCCTATTCTAATTCTTAAGGCCCCTCCCGAGTTTGCTCAGGATCTTCCGACTTCCTGAAGCGGACAGCGCAGCTTCCGCGGCTTCGATGCCTTTGGCGACCCCGTTGACCGGGACCTCCACCTTGGGCCCAAATAGTAGGATCTTTATAGGTGGGAGTTTCGGAAAAGGGACTCTAATATAGTACCCTAAATAGTAGGATCCTCATTCTAAGGAGGTACCCTAATTTTCGGAAACTCACCTTGGGTCTTGCGAAGTCTTCTGGCTCAGGGCTTATGGCTGCGGGATTTTATTAAGGCTAAAGATTTAGAGCTCAGCGTAAGAGAGGCTTATGGTTCCTGATCAATGTCTGAGGTGGATTCTGCTCCAAAAGTCGTGTTTTTCACAGTATCGGCTTGTGTGGTCGAATTCCTTGCTGCAAGAGGCTTCGTTGGCCAGTGGCCCAGACTAGCCAAACACACACTCCCCTAATCTCCCCTATATCCTAAAGGTCCTAAACCCGAAACCTTCGTTGGCTCCTAACTTACATTCGGCCAAACCCGTCCTGAAACTCAAAACTATGCAGCGCAGAAGCCCGAGAACTGCAGCTAGATTCCAAGAGTCGGTCATAACCCAAAACCCTAGCAATCGACGACAACAGCCGCAGCGACTCTCAAGCGTCAGGCCAAAGCCATCAGATTCAAGCCCCTAAGCCATCGAACTCATATAGAAACTTCAGCCCCGAACGCACAAAGCCCGAAAGCCCTAAGCCCTTATAGCATCCTTAAAGAACCCCTTCAAAACGAAACCCCAAAACATACAAAAAAGCAAAGGCCAAGACGCCCGAAGCTAGCGAAAAATTAAATTCAAGTTCCTTAACAATAACCCCAGAAGATCCAAAAAGCAAGAGCCAAGAAGCCCTAAGCCCTAAACCCTAATGGAGCTGTTAACGGAACCCTACATTATGGTAACTTATATTAAGTTCCCAAAACCCTAAACCCTTATAGAACCCTTAATACCCAAAACCCAAAACTCTTATTCTGGTAACTTAAATTCAGTTCCTCTTACCATACCCTAGGCCCTAAACCCTAAGCTCTAAACTAAACCGAACACCCTAAACCCTAAAACCAAAACCCTATTAGAGATCCCTTTAAGGAACCCCTATAGCATCCCTTTCAGGAACCCTTATAGAATCTCTTTAAGGAACCCTTAGAGGATCCCTTTAAAGGAACCCTTCTAGGATCCCTTTAAAGGAACCCCTAAAACCCCGAGAAGCCAAGAAGCACTCCCCAGCTCCCGAGGTGCCGGGCGCTTTGCCAGGCGAAGGGCGGCGGCGGCGGGCAGCTGGAGGACTCCCTCCTGGTAATAGAGGGTTTTAATTGTTTAAGGGTTTAGGGGTTAAGGGTCTAAGGGTTTAGGGGTTTCGGCGCTCACACTTAGGGGTTTCAGCACTCACACTCGGACAAGCCTAGGCGAGGTTCTCAAGTCCGCGACAGGCACGTGTGGCCATTCCATCACACATTGGTAACGGCAAACATTAACAGCACATCCACTCTATCCTAGGGCAACCAAAGAAGTTCCATTCGTCAAGCAAAGCGGAAGCCTGCAGCACGTCCACCCCACATTTGCACAATATCCGACAGGCCATGACAAAACCCATCCAACACATCCACTGCCCACATTTCAACAGCCGTGGTGACTATCTGGCACCATTCACCACAGCGAAGAGAAATGCAGAAAGCTGGTGTATACCTCTCCCCCGGCCATGGCGTCAAGCCTCTTTGACATGCTCAGGTACCATAACTGAATTCGCAGCAGCATGCAAATACATGCATCCCAATTCCCATGCAGCACTTCGCAGCTACAGCCTGCGGCCCACTTAGGGGTTTAGGGTTTAGGGGTTTGGGGGTTTAAGGTAGAGGGTTTAGGGGTTTAGGGGTAGGGGCAGATTTAAGGTTTAGGGTCAACTTTGGGGTTTGAAGAGCATGGTGTACTAAAACTAAAATTCGGTACCCTTATGCTACAAGGTAATAATTAAGGGGCCTGGACAGCTAGAATAGGGCTTCATAACGGCTACTTGTTTATAGGGTTTTCGTTCACGGGTGCTGAGACCTGGAGTAGGACTTTGGGGCATGGCGTAGTAAACATACATTTAGGTGCCCTAGGATCATAGAACATGTGGTGTTGCAAATCTTGGCTGTCGGGTTCATCCAAGTTCATTAGCCCAAAAGAAGCGTTGAAGCTTCAGTTATCACGCTGTTATGCTCTCCACAATGCTCAAAGTACATTGGGCCTACTTCCCGAAACAAGAATCCTTCGTGGCCACTTGCGCCGCAAGCCCGCTGAAGCCCTGCCTGAAGTGCAGAGCGGAGCAGTTATGAAAGTAAGGCTTCGCGGTATGCGAGGTTGTTCGCTTTGTTCGCTTCAGGGGCCATCAGCACGGGAAGCGGCCCCTGCTTCTCCACACGAACAAACGCGAAAGAACCACGAAGGCTTCCTGCCAATATCGTCTTCGGGCAAGGTTCGCTTCGTATCAGGATACGAAATCGGCAACTCCGTTTCGAATTCAGCATCTCTCCCGCCACTGCTAAATGCCAAAAGTTTCCCGGGGTTCACAATGCACACCTGTGCCCACCTGCCCCGAACTGCCTCTGCAGCCGGCTGACAACACCCGTGCGAATCCCGCAGCCCGGAAAAGCGCGAATATGCTGATCACCCAAGCTGCAAACTGCCGTTGACCATCTTCCCGCCAAGCATACCCCGGATGCGTTTCCTGGGGCCGTACACATGAAAAAGTCCGTTTCTGAAAAGTGTTTCTGAAGAGTGCCTTATGGTTGAGGGTCTTTGTCGTTCATCTTGCGGTTGGCGAGGAGATGTGCATTGAAGTCCAGAATTAGCATAGACGCATGCAGCCAACGCTAATGAACTAATGCTCTACATTATCTAGTTCTCGATCCATTGGGTACTCTAGAATCTTGAGTCCAGAAACAAAGTTTGGTGGAATCTCAAAACTGGGCTGGCATTCTGAAGCAGAGCTTCCAAGATATTTCCTGCAACGAACATGCGCTTCAGCAGGCTGTGGCTCAGACTTGTACGCTTTTGAACGATTGTGTTGTAGAGCTCCGCTTCTACAGTTGCCACAAGCTCCGCCGGAAGATCAAACTTGACGGCACATTTCCATTCCGGACTCAACCCACAGGGTCACAACTAGAAGGCTTCAGATAAGAAAGCGAAAAACAGAGATATCTTAGAGAGAGAGAGAGAGATATCGAGTTAGAGTCCACAGTAATTACAAGACCAGTGTCGACTCCGAGGATGACGACTTCGAACGGCGGTTTTGCTTAGGTTTTATTAGGGTTTTTTGCCTACCCGCCCAGCTGGTTTAGTCTTTGGTCCAGGGTTGTCTCTTTGGTCCAGGGTGTCTCGATATGTCTGGATGTCGAGGCGAAGGGTTTCGGGCTTGGCCGTTGCGGCTTGTCGAAACTGGCGCCAACTACTGTTTCGGAGCTTCAAAGAACAAAACTCAAGATCACCAATCTAAACTCCTCGATGTAGAATCCTAAACCTTAAAGACTGTCAAGACCCAAGGCTCTTCTTGATGGAACGCAGATGCACAGCCGCAAAGGCACGTGCCGCTAAGTCTTGCCTGGCTCCAGAGGTTTGGGTGCAAAGAACTCGGGCTTCGGGGCCTTCGGCGTCGGCTTCAAGATTCTATTAATCTTGGGGAATCTTGGGGATCTAGAACGCGGAGACTGAGCCCAAATTAGGTGCTCGCTCATCGGCATATGTTTCGGTGTTTCTGTCAAGCTAGGGTTATTGCAGATACTACATATATATATATATATCCCCAGAACAGAAATCCAAAGCTCCATCAGGGTCCGAATCACACGGGCTGGATTCCAGCCAGGGCGATGAAGGCCAGCACTGGAAGAAGCGCCGCATCCGGCAAACTTCGGCCCGCCGCTGCGAAAGCTGCCCGCACCCCCCCAGCCAGCACCGCACCGGACAGGCAACTTCCTGGGATCTTCTTAAGCAGTTTGATTTATACGTTACCATAGGGATCTATACTAACTAGAGGTTTCTTTAGCGTAAGGAACTTAAGTAACATTTGATCCCTCAACAAGAGCCCAGCTTCGAAGAAGCTCACGGAGCAGCTGTCCGCCGGCACCTCTAGTTTCGCCTTCTGGGATGGGCGAAGGCTCCAAGGCCCGCCAGACGAAGCGGTAAGTTGGAAATGCCGAGAGTGCAGTGAGCAGGAGAAACACCTGGTTTATGGTTGGGACAGGATTAAACATTTACCTTTTTATTCCTTATTGGGTTTAAGTACCCATAACAGTGTAAACTGTTACCCAACCATGAAAAAGACGCCTTGTGGGAGATTAAAATTCCCATGAGCTCCATCATCCAGCCTCCTAAGGCCGCAGGCCGCCCCATCCAGGGACCCATGATCTTTGTGGCCCCCGTCCCTGTAATGAATGCAGCATTGCGGGGGATGAAAGGCAGAAAATAGCGTGCTTGCGCCGGCAGCGCTTGCACCACCAAGCAAGCCGCAAAGAACGCCTGCGAAGCGGTCGCTGCGTACCTGAAGCAAAACGATCCATTTCTTGTGGGTCATCACTTGCTCCCCCTCAAAGATCAGGAAAAGCCTTTACAAGGCGAAACTGCCAAGTAGAACGATTCTCTTGCCCTCAATCGCCCACAGCTCCAGCGAGCGGCCTCAGCAGATCACCGGCCGCCAAGGTCACAGCCGAAAGCCGAGTCCTTGGCATCGTCGCGAAGTGATCATTGCTCCCCAGGCTGTCGAACCCTTGTTGCATCCAGCCTGCAAAGCCTCTGCTGGGAAGTAAATGAGCGACTAAAGCAAACTTCCAAGTCTGCCCGTCGAACCCTAAAACCCGAAACCCTAAACCGTCTTTAGACGGCTTCGTGAAAGTCAATCATGTGAACGTTTCATGAGAACCAAAATTGGAACACGAGCGCCCAAAGAGACCACGATATGGCTGTCACTGTCACGCGGTTTGGTAAACATACAGTACATAAATAAATGTAAATAACCCTGTGCTTCCTCGACCGTAGTTTTCAGGGTGGTTGCGAACCACCTCGTTTCGCCCCGGGGCGACCCTATTTTGCCCCCCGCCTTCGTGAATATAAAGCAACTGTAAATTGAAGACAACGCCCCTAATTTTACGCACGCCTTGACCCCACCTAGGAAATCTGAACGCCCCCCATTTACCCCACACCCAACCAATGGAAACGACCCCGATGTACAAGCAACGTGGAACCCGCAAAACCGTGAGAAAGAGGCCGCAAAAGCGTGAGCAAAGCGTGAGAAACCGTGAGAAGGTTTCGAGTGGGCCGGCCATAGTCCAGATAGACTCTTCAACGACCCCACTTTGAACCGTGAGAGAAGCGTGAGAAAGCGTGAGATGCACCGCAAAATCGTGAGAAAGAGCCACCAAGCATGAGTTCCATTCCTCGAGTTTCGATTGGGTCATTTCAAGGTGGTTCGGGTCCGCAGGCTCTTGAACATCGTCGGGTCGAATTGAGGTTGTTCGGGGATCGTCTGTGTTTGATGGAAGGGGGTTTGCTTGGTCCCTAAATTAGGTGGTTCGACCACCATTTCCGAACCACCGGAAAAAGTTGGGTGGTAATGGCAACGCCCCTGGTTTTTAGGGTGGTTGGAATCATAGGGTAAAGAAGTTTGTAGATGTATATGCATATATATATATATGTATATGTATACATTTACATGTATACATATACGCCTAATTTGGTACACCTGTCAGGTCCGATAACTTTCGAAGCTGACTTTCTGCCAGAACACAGATAGCTTCCCTTCTTCGCATGCCGGTATTTCTAGCTGTCTTTTTTGTATACTGTAGCAAGGGTTCAGGCTGTAAAGCTTTCCATTTCAAACTGCATGCCATTCTGGCGCATTCCAACCCTGCAACCACGCGAGGGGACTCGAGGACTTCAGATTTTTAAGTACCCAGAGGTCCCCATAGTAATTAGTCCTTTTTTGGGGGTTCATATATAGAATCCTTAGTAAGGTAACCCCAAAAAGGAGCTACTATAGGGCCTTTGGGTATTCCAACCTTAGCCTTGAAGAAAGCAAAGGTGCCCCGCAAGACCGCCTCACAGCCTAAACTTCCCCCGTTAAAGTTACTTCTGGCCAAACTATGCTAGGTTGGGCTTTTAAAGCCTGTGAAAAAAAGATAAGACACCCTTAAGCCCAATAAGGGAAAAATGTAACATGTCCCAAGGCCCTTCCTAGTATGTTAATTTTAAAACTTTTATTGAACCAGGTAACCAGGAACTTGTAGTCTTGCCAAAGCTAAACCTCTACTATAACCCCCCAAAGACCACAGTCCGTCATCACACCCAAGTCAATCGCAAGACTCATGTAGGGGTCTTAACACTTGGAGTAGATATGATCTTAACCAGGAACCCTAAGGAACAATGCTGGAAGTTTTTTCGGCTTTTGTACTATTTTGCGGCTCAAGCTCTGCCCTTGGGATGCAAATCGCAGGGCCTGGGCAAAACTTGGTTTTGACGCTCACAGTCGCTCGAGGCAGGCAGGCTCCATTTTGGTTTAGGGTGTGGGGTTTGGGCTGTAGTCGCTACTAAGCCGGGGCAATCAATCTAGGCGAGACGAAGCAGAGCCAACTCGGAAGGCCGTCGGAAGGGAAGCAATAAGATTCTATATACGAGCCCCAAAAAAGGAACTACTTTGGGGCTTGGAGTAGAGTCGGAGTCTTCGGAGTCGGCTCTGAGCGGGCTCCGAGGCTCATACTCAAGCACGCATGGAATACGCGGTGCACACACCTACGAAAAAGGCACCGTGGTTCGCACCGATGCTACCGACTTGTGCTGCAGCCTCGCCGATGCAGTTCCACCTGAAACTGCTGCAAAAAACCCGACCAAAACCCGGAACAATCTGAAATCGCAGCCGTTGCTGTGCAAAGCCCACACGAATTCGGTTGCCCCTGCCTGACATGCTTCCGCAACAACACCACTATGTGCATCTCAATTCCACTAACTTGCATCCCCAAATATCCCACACAGTGCTGCCGGGAATGCTAAAGGCCGCAAAGGGCGGGCGACTCGCTCGGCCAGGTGGCTTGGCGAAAGAAACCTCGCAAGAGCAAGAGCAGCCGCAGCAGCCCGAGCTGGGGGCACAGGGTTCCTTCGAAGGGTCCTATAAGGGATACTATAGTATAGGGGCCTTAAAAATTAGAATGGGTGTTTATACTATGATCATAAGAATTAAAAGGTATAGGCCAAAATTAAGCCCCTGTAGCTGCTCCTGCTGCACTGAAATACCTGTGAAGCTAGTCTTGTTGTTCGAGCCAGGAAGCCACAAGATGGAGCATGCGGTGAAGATGGCGAACAGTAGCTCGTGGCCCTTACTTCTGAAGCAAAGAACCTGGCGGCAAGTGAGAGTCACTTCAGCACCTGCGTCGTGACGACGTGCAGGTGCACACACACTACAGACCGTCAGTGGCATGCATTTACCGGACTTGCCCAGTGTGATTGCTCATCTTGTCAGCCATGGCTGCTCCCTCGCAACCTGCAGCCGCAAGGCCGAGAGAAATCTGTAGTGCCAACTCTATGGAAGCCTGAACATAAAGCTTGGCAAGCTGAGAAACGGCTGAGGAACTGCTCTCACGAGCCTCTTGCACAAGCGGCGTGTAACCCACACGAAGAAGAGCTGCAGACCCGAAGATCAGCCCGAGGACCCTCGGTACCATGTGCATTTTGGGTCTCAGAAAGCTAGACCAACGGGCTACCCTAAACCCTGAGTAACTGAGTATAGTAAGTTCGACATGCGCTGCATTTGGGATCAGAAAGTTATAGAAGTACCTTATAAAATCAGGGACACGTAAGGCTTAGGGTCTATAGGGTCCATGCCGGGATCCGTTGTTTTCTGAGACTCTGAGACTCCCGTCTCTCTTTGGGTCGGTTGGCCTCCGGGAATCACTGTTCTCAGCGCAGTTTCGGTGAATGATGGTGATGACCTTGATGGGCATGACTGCGGCGTTCCGGCAGTGTTTCCGTGTTCCCATGGTTTGGGGCCAAACGGCTTGGGGTGTCTTTGAAAACGCTGCAGGGTGGGCGGGGCATGGTGGGGCCACAAGCCTGGAGGTTTTGATTTCCAACCGTAGAGTCGGATTCGGTCACGACGAAAGTTGTCGAAGCCATCAAAAGTCGCTTCTTCTTGCCCGCGGTTTTTCTGGAAACGCCTCAATGTTTCAGCTAGGGTCCAGCAGTTCTTTCTCGTAATGATGCTGATCGAAAGTCTGCATGTGGGGATTCGACACTTGGAGAAGTCGTGGTAACTAGAATTTACCACCCAAGCATACCCAAGCTGTAGCTCTCCACGACGTGTGCCTCCGAGGAGCAGGATGGCAGGCGTCACGCTGGAGCTCAGCGTCGTCTGCTGTGTGCCCGACTGCTGGGGGATTTTGGCAACACGCTGGCCTGAAAAGCGTCAGGGCACGGCGAGTGCAGACAGGCTCAGGCAAATTAACTGCAGCCTAAGTGGTGACATGCAACCACACCCATCCGATTCCTAACCAGAGAGCTACATCTGGGCGTGTTTCCCCGACTCATAACCTGTAACAACCCAGCTCTTGTCGCCCCTTCAACTCTCCTCCCGGGCCCAAGCTCCCTCCCTGATGCAGACATGCCCAGATCGCCTTCGGGGCTGAGTACCTAGCCCTAAGCAAGTTTACCCATTCAATATGGCAGGCATTTTTGAGCGCAAGAAGGCAGCTGTAAGCCATGTACATATGAACTTGCAGGAATGTTGGCATCATCCCTACAACGTGAAAAAAGACCTGGATGCGGTTGGCCCTGGCTCAGCCCCATGCTGCCATGTCCCACATCGTATCGAAAACTCTAATCCCGAAGCCTCCAACATGCCTGCGAGTCAACGTCTCTCCGAAGGCCCTACGGCCGTACCGCTTCTCCGAGCACGAAGCCTTCCAAGCAGTCCCAATACCTCTTATTTAGGGGTCCTTATAATAAGGATCTTATTATTTCGGGCACTATATTAAAGTCCCCCTTTTCGGAAACCCCCATATCATGATAACGTAGAAAATACAGAACCCGACCAAATCGCCGAATCCCGCAAAAAAACACAGAGGCGGCCTTGGCTTTGAAGGCCCCACGGCTTCGCAGTGGGCTTGGCCTCACGCAGGGAACTGTGGAAACATTGGGATAAAGCTTACCCAAAGGCCGCAAAGTAGTTCCTTGTTGGGGCTCGTATATAGAATCTTATTAGGTAATCCTTTGGGGCCTTTGGGTAAAGCTTCAAGATGGCGTGAGAAGTCAGCCACTTTGCTACTCTGGGTGATTGTCGGTTACGTGGGAATGGTATGTGGCTGTATGGGGTGCCGAATTAGGTACACCTAGAAAGATTACAGATGTACAGACCATCATCCGCGCGGGCCCCAATCAGCCACGTCCCCTCAAGATCATGCAGCACCATAGAAGACGAAGGAGAAAAACCAAGCTCTTGCGGATACAATCTGCATCTCGCCGAGCATATGACGAATAGAAACCGAGCTCACCCCGAAGCAGTTCGACTATTCATAGCATCATCTCCCGCAGAATGTCCTGTTGTGAAGCGATGGCTCGTGGCGCCACGAAGGCCGCAGAGTGCCCGAGCCGAAGCAGCGGCGCAGCTGCGAGCCTCATGTTCTCTTAAAGAACTTGTTTGCGCAGTGGCGGGGTATCTCACCAAGCTGGTGAAGCTGCGGCGTACTACACATCATTGCGGGCAGACTCGTCCTGGAAGTTCACATCGGCATCGACAATCCGTTTGTTTGTATTTGTACATGTCTGTCTTTTTTGTATGTTGCATTTTCTCGTCCTTTTCTATACTTATTGTATGTTGTTTGTGTCTTTTGTCGTATTGGTTTGCATACTTCTATTGTTCGGTATGTTGGATGTATTGCTGTGTATGTTGCCTGTATTTTTTGTATGTTGCTTGATGTTTTTGCAATTTGGCTTCTGTGTTTTTGCATGTCGGCTGTACTTATTGGCTGCATGTTGGCTGTTTTGTACCGTGCGCTTTATGTAGGCGGCTGCTTATATTAGTATCAGTATTGGTTTTGCTGTTCGTTGTTTTGGCCCGCCATCGCTGTGACTTTTATGCTGGCAGTATGTCTGGTAGGTCGAGGCAATGTCTTGATATTTGGATGGTATTTCTGGTAGTTTATGCTAGCATGTTAGGAATATTTTTTGGTATGTTGATGCTGTCATTTGCATGCTGATTGGATTGTTCATGGTTTTTGTATTTGTATGCCGGAAAATCCCAAGAAACACCCTTCTATGAACATGCTTTGATGGTTCTGTTGATGCATAGTGGCCGGGAAGCTGCAGTGTACTACACATCATTGCGGGCAGGCGCTGGTTAGGGAAGTTCACATCAGCGGAGAGGTTACACAACTTGGCCATTAGCAAAAGGGGATCTAGGGGCCCCAAGAAGCGCACATCGGACAGACACGAGCTTTCGCATTTTTTGTTACACCCGCTGAGGGATGTGTATCGTATGAAATGGAACTATCGGATTTCCTGCTGATGGTGGGATTTGGGGCATACACGCCCGCCCGCACTCAAACGCAAACCAAACATGCATGTGCGCGCACACACACACACACACCCACAGCTTGCTAATCTCATTGAAAGGCTCCGCCCCGTGGACGATGTGGACGCGTAAAGAAGCAAGCGACACGGCTAGTGTGGGATGTGCTTCAAGCCCTGGAAGACCCCAGTAAGCTTTCACCAAGTAGCAGGAGAGCAGCGGCAGCGGCGCGGCGCAACACCATGGCTGCAGCCATCTACTTACTTAATGCCGTACAACACTTCGTCGTGGTACACTCCATACCTGTACAATATTGCACACCTCCAAACAGGGAGGCTGTCCTAGGTCGTCCCCAAGTACACTGTCGAATCCTTCAGGGCGACCAAATATGTCTGCCTGCAGCATTGTGCTGGGCTTTACTGCTCTCTTGCCGTCTACCGGATCGTGCCTTCGGTATCGCCGTGAACTCCCCAGGTCGCCGATGATGGCTTGCATGCTCAAGTATGTTGGCGGGCCGAACTGCAACTGCCGAGAGCTCCCGCCGGAAACAAACGATTCAAGATAAAACGGATTTGCTTTACTCGATCCCTGTAAAGTTTCTCCGTTCGTCGACAGGCTCCACGGGGTAAGATGTGAGAAATCCCTCGGGCTGGGAAGGAGCGACTATGTGAAACCGAAAGGGCCATGTGGACGGCACATCCCATGTAAGCCCCGCATCTTTTGCACCGCAGGTTCCCCCTCCTGGCAGTCGACGCGGCACTCCGACGTGCCAGGGAACCTGGGATTCGCCCGAGAGCTCGCATCACAAGCCTCTGGGCAAAAACCGCAGAAGGCCAAAACCCTACATCGCTCAATCCTAAGCCATGGAACACTGAAGCCGGAAAAATACCGTAGAAACACCCTGTAATAAAGCCTCCTTCGAACTCCAAAATGGCATAAGAAACTTGAAGTCCTTTCAGAACCCTTAATAAGGACCCCTGGGTATATACCCATAATATAGCTATTATATACCCATTATATAGCCCATTATAGGCTAGGGGTCCCCATTAAGGGCACCCTAAAACCCAGGCCTCCGCTGCCTCGGATGCCCACACGGCCGCACTCCCAGCCAACTCCTCAGGGTCCCTGAAGCCTCGAAGCCGCAGCTCCTCCAAGGGATTTTGAGGGCGTTTAGGGTTTAGGAGTTTAGGGGCTTCGGGTTTCGACTCGCACACTCGCACAATCGCAGGCACGGCTTCGGGTTTAGGGGTTTGGGGTTTGTTTCCCTCCTACCTAGCAAGGGTTTGGGGTTTAGGATTTAGGGGTTTAGGGGCTGCGGCGTTCACACTCGGACAATCCAGGCGAGGCATGTGGTTCGAGGTCTGCTTGGGAGCGTGCCAGAAATTGCAGTATGAGAAAGATTGAACTACCTTGTTCTCCCCTTTCAAGATTTAGGGATCATGGATGTGTGCTTCAGCACTCACAATTGGGACAAGCATGTTTGGAGTCTGTAGAATGGAAACCTCCTTCTCGATCCTGAAAGCCACCTGAAACCCTCACATCCTGCAAAAGCTTCAGCGCCGTGCCGCTGGCGTAGCCGAGGCCGCAGGCACGAAGCTCAGCACGGCAGAACCATGGAATGGAATTACATCGGGAGCCAAACCGGAGGTTCTATCTAGTAGTTGGCCCACGCAGAGAGGGATAGTCGATGGTACGGACGGCATATAAGAGCTCAGCGGCCGAACAACTGCTGGTCAGCGAAGGTTTGCCGCACATCGTGTGGTGATAACTTGCGCCATACTCTGCGCTACACCCGCAACTCCAAGTCAGTTGTGGGAGATTCAACCGTATTTAGCCGTTTAGCCCATACATTGAAGAGCCAGCCGAGCGGTACTCGAAAATGAGATAGTCCGGCTGGCGAATCTGTGTGCAGCTGTTCTCTAGTTGCAGGGGTGTTTCTTCCTAGTGCGGGGGACAAAGCTATGATACGTGTCCTGATGCACCAGTTCACCAGTAGCAGAATGAGTATTACTACGGTTCTTGCATCCACGATTCAAGCATCCACACCGTAACATCTCGCAGCCATAGCCGGGAACAGCAGAATAGCAGCAACAAAACGAACGACGACGACAACGACGCCAATGACAACTTTGCAGAATCATTCATAAGCCCACAACCCAAAAACCTTAAATCGTCGGGTTGGGTCTTCGCTGAGTCGGCTGCTGCGCTGCGGTAGGCTGCCAAGTGTGTCTGCGCTCGTTGGCGAAGCCTAAAGCTCTCAAGGGTTTCGGCTTTTTGGGGTATAAATTAGGAGCTGTCTCCAGGAACCTTCGACATTTAGATCTTGTGCACACCCAAGTCCGAGCAATTGCGCAGCCCAGAAGCGCACACGTGGATCTAACTTATCTCTGCTACACTCACAGTGACGCCGAAAAGTTGCAGGCATTTATGTATGCTTGCGTGGTCGTTGCTTTTTGAAGTTGGTGAAGCTCATGGATGATGATTCCATGCATGAATAATCCATGGTACTCTCGTTACATATGTATGTGCATGCGACAGTTTTGCCTGGGCATTACTTCTGGTGTTTTGAACGCCGCTACATGATTGCCAACTCTGAACGTAGACTAAGTAGAGGTGCTGAATGCCACTTCTGATTAGAATCTCTGAAAGTTGTGTTAGAAATGCACAGAGCAGCCGGAACTGCATCCGAAAAATTCCTCGAGGACACGCCCTGGACCCGACCCGGCTAAGACAGACATCAGGAAACAGCGAGCAGGCATGCAAACAAACAACACCAATCGCCGGGAAGGCCCGGAGTAGCAAACAGGCTTTCGAGGCTGTGTATTGCTAATCACTATGTAGTCTGCTACAGTAGGCTTGTTTTTGCTTTGCGGCTCAAACCTGTGCGTTTATTTTTCTCGCTTCGCCCTTGATCAAGCCCAGATGCATGAGCTGAAGCATCCCGACGCAATGCCTCCAGGTTTCCAGCCGTTGAAGCCTGAATTCTGGCTTGTAGGCTTATTGTTTGTCTGGAATAACAAATAAGCCTGGAAACGCACGCTGCTTGAATTTGAGGCACTGTCCCACACAAACATACACAAAACTCATACCGCCAAACAGCGAACCAAAGCACTCAAGAAGCAAACTGGGGCCATCCTCACAGCACCTGACCTGCCCCTGCTCGAGACATTCACGGCTAGCGGGGCAAGCGTGAGCAGCGAGGACATTCCAGACTTCAGCATTCCAAGCCCTAGGCCGCACAATCATTCTACTCCAAGGATCACAGGACTTGCCAGTTCGGTTATGGTTATGTGTTGGGCTGTCAACAAGATAACGCTAAATCGAATGCTGACTCTGCCTGCAATCTCCTCATGAAATCCAGGTCCTGGAAGCAGGACCCCAAATCCTGGCATTTCCTATCTTCTTTGAAGGATTGTGGGCGACTTCGCTGGGACGTCCAAGGTTAACAACCCGGGCCCAACTAAAGCTTCTTGTTATTGCTGCTCTTTCGGACCATGTCGTTTAAAGGTGTTTACGCTCTCGAAACTCGGACTTGCCAAACGAGGTCTCTGTGTTCGGGCGCACAACAACTCTACTCTAACACAAGTGCCTACGATTCTTACGATAGTTTAGAGCTTGTAGGGTTAGAGCTTGTAGGGTCTAGAGGTTTAGGGGCACCAGAGGGCTCATTTGCGGTGCTGCCAGTGCAAATCCCACTGTACTGCTGTTTGCTGGGGAGCTCCGCCATCGCACCAAAGAAAGCGACGGTATCGCTTGAGGGCCGACACATCAACCTCAGAGTTTGTGGGTACAGGGTTTGCGGCATTTCGGGGGGTTTCCGAAAATTCGGGGTACCCTTATTGGGGGTTCCTTATATAAAGGATCCTACCATTTGGGTGCTATATTAGGGTCCCCTATTTTCGGAAACCCCCATTTCGAGCTGCTCAGAAAATTGATCTAGGTCTAAGTTGCCTGCCCACCGTTAAGACTTACGGGACATAGCTTGACCACCGCTTAAAGGGCTCTCGGAACATCTCGCTATGGCTTCCAGCAGCTCCAATGAGCCCGGGGAACAATTTGTAGAACCCGTGTCGTCCAATCGTGTAGCTTTGCTCCTGGCCCTTGCTCATTTTATTGCAAATATTTCATAGCATGTCATGTGGCATGCTCGCTTGCAATACCAACATCCTCCCGAACTTTCCAATGAATGGCACCTCTATCCTGCACTCCCACCTCTGCACTCACCTCGATCCCTACATCCATAGATCCCCCCACCCTTGAAACCCACCTCACCCAAAACCCCTACTTAGAGGATCATGGGACTTAGTATAAGTAGGGTTATAAGTACCGTAATTAAGGTTCTACGTAGATATAACTATAGTTACCTTACTTATAACCCTACTTACTAAGTCCCGTGATCCTCTGAGGAGTGTTATCCCGGGCCCAGTCGCCAGTCCAGGGACTGCTGCCAGGACCGAGCCGTGACGGCCGCAGACACCAAGGCATTGTGAGCACTGCCATGGAGTGACTTCCTTGGGGTTTAGGGTTTAGGGGTTAAGGGGCTTGGGGTTTAGGGATTTAGGGTTTAGGATTTAGGGGTTTCGGTGCTCACACTCGGACAATCCAGGCGAGGCATGTGCTTCGAGGTCTGATGAGTGAGACACTTTAGTGGGAATGATTCAAGACACACTGATATTCAGGACTGCACTGACACTATCGTAACTATGCTTCAGTTCCCCTCCCAGGCTGGATGAAGAATCAAACGACGGCTAAAGGCCTAAGAAAACCTGGATTCTGAGGATTGCCATCGGCAGACCACAGTCGCGGGGGCATAAGGTACAGATGAGGAGCCAATACATGGTATTGCTGGCCGGGAGTGGCCGAGGATACTTGGATGGCTTCCTTGGGGTTTCAGGGTTTAGGGCTTTAGGTAGTGGTTTGAGGTAGGAGGATTGATCCAAAACAGCTCCAATGTCCCCGAAGTAACAAGAATTCCTTCTTTCAATTATACTGTATGGGCTTTCATGGTTGGCCGTTGGGGGCTTCTTTGCCTTTTCACAGGCTAGACGGATTAAGGGGCAAGGGGGCTTGGGTCAGGGGAGCTGCCACCGGCATCATTGGTTGATTCGGGTTTGAGATTACCTCATGTAGGAACCTGATTAAGAAACCTTGGGAATTTACTGGGGTTCCTTATATGAATCCTATTATTTGGGGTTATAGGTTTAGGGTTGCTTAATCAGGTTCCTACAATACTCTTAACCCTAAACAAATGTACCG